CTCTGGTAAAAAATGCTTACTGAGACATATAAGTCCCGAAGGTGAATACACTGATATCTGCAAAGACACAAAGATAAAAGCGCTGGTTTAATCCGGTGAATTGTGAGTTCAATACTTGGTTGAGGTGAACAAAATCTTGATACCGAGACCCCGGAAGAGGCATGGTACGTGGAACCAGAACAGTCTACCCCGGTAAATTAAAGGATTCAGTTCGAAATTCCAAACACCCAAAGAAGGTCGAGGCGTATAACGGCCGAAATATCGCTAAGATATCAACAAAGAGGAGGACAACAGCCCGAACTATGTAAATGGTGTAAATAATTACAACATCTCAACTCAAAAATAGAGACATCTCCTGAAGAAGACCAGAGCCAAATACGGCCGAGACGTCGTGAATATGGTAATGGAGATGATGACTACAGTGCGAACGACATAAATTGTGAAAATAATTACAGAAACTGATCTTAGAAATAGAGACGGAAATTGTTTCCTTTTGTTAACTTTGGCATACAATTTTCTTTTTAACAAGTTTAAAAAGAAAAATAAAGCAAATAAAAACTAGAGCAAATTTACCACGTGGTTGCAGCGCGCATTAGGGTCCCAGCTATGGGAAAATAGTTTACTCCAAACTGGGATCAAAACACTATGAAAGTATAAACATAGATCTTTAAAGCAAAAATACGAGAAATACATTTTTGAAGAAAAAATATTACTAGCAATACATTTGACTATCGAAAAAATCCCTCTTTACAAAAATACGTTAATGAAACCTGATCTACACACGGATTTCTTACAAAGAATACATATTTCATTCACACGGACCTATCCTAAAAATCTTGTCGCCATTAAATAACCCATTGATGTGCTGAAATAACGTAAAACAAAATAAACCCAAATCCTGATCTATAAATCGATTTCTTACAAAGAATACATATTCCTTTCATACGAACCTATCCTAAAAATCTTTTCGGCATTGAATAACCCATTAAGGTTGATATACCGTAAAAAAAACACAAACCCTTATCTAAACACTGATTTCTTAAAAAAAAATACATGTATATTCCATCCACACGAACCTATCCTGAAAATCTTGTCGGCATTAAATAACCTGTTGAGGTTGATATACCGTAAAGCAAAATAAACCAATTCAAACTAAGGATGCTCACAAAAGATAATTTCGTTTCGCCGCTCCATTAAGTACACCATTCCTCCTGCCACGCATGATCTTTATAAGAATCAGATCAAACCAAATATGACGTAGCGCTTCCATATCTGAACTGTAGCAGACAATGTTAGAGATGCATTAAATTCAAACCTACAGTGTCTTTTCTCCCAGACGAAATGTCGCCATTCTATCTCAACACTATCGCTATTTACATGGCAAATGTTTAAACGATCTACATAACTATGTTCCACCAGTTCGGGATTTTAGATTTAGGATCCGCTGTGTCATGTACAGCTGGTCATGTCATCTTCACCCCACTCTGGTATTCCACTTGTAAGAAGGAAGTTCCATTTTAACATTTTCTTCCCAAGAACAACGACCTTGACGAAAAGCCGCCTGAGATGATGATCCCTAATCACTAACTCCTGAGTGAAACATTATCTATCCTACATATCCTCAGTATAAATTTTCTTCCACTTCTTACGTCCATACAATAAACTCACAAAAAATCTTCCTTGAGTTGCTCTTGGGGCTTGTAAAAGGTGTCCAATAGCGTAAAGAATATTTACAAATCAAGCTAAAAAAATATTAAACATTATTTTGTGAGTTTCGTTTCTTTTCAAATATATCTCGTTCAATCCGAGCTTTCTGTATAAAGAAATTAAAACTCTTAAGTGGATTCTCTCTAATCATTACAAACCCTGAACCCCTGAGTGAACCGTTATCTATTTTCCATATCGTTACAATCTGCACATATTTCTACTTCTTAAGTCCATACAATAGCCTCATAAATTAACCCTCTTCCTTGAGTTGCTCTTAGGCTTTGGAAAAGGTGATCAATAACGTAAAAATATACAAATCAAACTAAAACAAATTATTAAAATTTTCTTTGTGAGTTTCGTTTCCTTTCAAATAAATCTCGTTTATTCTGACTTTACTATATAAAGAAATGAAATGTCTTATTGAAATATGTTTGGCTGTATTGCTTAGCTGAACAATACGAGAAAGGAATAAACAAAGCGTAAAGAGTTTAACTATGACATGTTTAAAATTGAAATAAGTGAGTTTCTATTCAATTTAATTATTTTCATTTACGACTTTTGTTTTATTGCAAGCATCAATACATACCGTTTGCAATCTTCTGTCAGAAATGACGTCTAATCACTTCTGCAATTTGAATTGCATCGTTGTAGCAGCAAAGATTGCATTTCAGAAGAATTACATTAATATAGAATAACACGGTTTATATTTTGATATCAAAGTAAATAATTTCGTTTACGTGAAATGTTAAAATACAATCGACAAATCAAAAGATTTTTTTTTCTTTTTGTTAAACTTTATTTATGCTTACTGGTACTTTGAGCTAGATTTCTTGATTTTTATATTAAATAAGATGCAATGCTTATTGCATAAGGTTATCGCCATTGATAATAGAAACGATGAAACGAGTTCGAATTTAAGTTGAGAATATTGATTTTTTCATTTTTACGGGGATGTCCCGAATATGGCACCAAACCTGTTCAAAAATATCTAAAATCTCATTCTGTATTCAACCGATCAATGGTTAAAAATTATACTGAGTGAATGAAGTCTGCGGTTCTTCACAGAGATCATCCCTCATTGAACATTGTGAACTGACAATATACAATTACAAAGAACTGTACTACATAACAAAAAAGGTAACGCTTGAAGGCTGCCAACAGCGGCAACAATGAAAATGGATAGCAGATATAACTGGAAGGCAATATAAGGGCTTCATCAAGATGTTTGAAATCAAATTAAAAATGTTTAGTAAGGAAATCCCAATTAATACTTGAAAGATCCATAACAGCTACTGGATTTGAGAAAGCTACTTTCAGATAAAAATGTTTTAACATAAGAGTTTTATAAATTTCAAACGATACCAGGTCCGCTTTTTCTGTCAATAAAATATTTCCTCGTAAACTAATATTACCATTACTGTTATATAGGAATAAAGTGTCGCTGCCGACACTTGAGTTTGAACATAGATCGCCAGTGAGCAAACACAGGCGATCCCAGTTATTGAATTATGTGGATCACGTGGCCATGAGAGAAACGCATATATATAGCAATAGCTGAGGACTAACGATTGTTATTTCTATCCTATCCTCTATTACTATTCGGATCTCTATTTCTACTCTATCCTCTATACTATACGGATTACTATTCTCTACTCTATTCACGATACCATTTTTCTATACTTGTTACTACTCGGTGGCTACTATTCGAGCGAGTATTATCGAGCAAGTACTATTGGTGCGAGTGATATTTGAAGGCGTCTGACACCAGTATTGTTCAACGGCGTACTACTGTTGTATCTGCGATTAACATCCCAAAAATGGCCACGGGTGTTCGTTGACATCACAAAAATTACCTTTACTAACTTTTTCTTTAGTGATTAATTTTATTTTCATTCGATCGAGCTAGCTCGGACATTCATGACAATATGACGCCATCTCTCACGGTCCTGCATCATGGTCGAAAGGGCATTAGGGTGGGATTCTGTCTCATTACATAGCTGATCAATGCAGGTGGTTGCTGGGCGACCAACTATTCTTGCTCCATGGCTAGGTGTCCAGCGTAGTAGATCACTTGTAATTTCTTGTTTTTCTCACCATCAGTGTCCTGCAGAGCGCATTCTGTGTTCGCGTGAGATTAGAGAAATCTCAGAGATAGGTCCATAGAGCAATGATTTAGTTGTTGTCTCCAAGAGATGTTAAGTGTAGCTTCCAGGTGTAGGTTCCATCAAGATTAAACTCGAAAGGTTTAGTTAATATCCCTAGCAGTGGCAGCATACATTAAAACCGCCTTTAAAGTGGCGCAAAAGAATATCCGTTTGAGGTTGTCTTGTAGATCAGATTTCTAGATTACATCCATTTTATTCAAGATGGCCAGGATTTAGCTATGCAGAATTTCACACTCTTTTCAGTAGAATTTATTTCGTTTTTGTAGGTATACAAGAGTCAAAGTAGGTCAAAACTGGAGTATTATTGCCATTTTGGTTCTGTGGCTAGACAGTCCTATCATTTCATTCTTGATAGATTTCAAGACGTTTATGCTGACTTCTGGAGGAATTGATATTCATTATTCTGCAGCCGCTTTCCAACAGACACATTCCTGATGCATCTCTACGGCTATATCCATGGCGAAGTCATTTTATAGCTCGGAAATTTTATTTCCCTCGTGTTCCAAATATACGATGAAAAGTTCCTTTCAGACAGAATCTTTTCCCAGGAACGACCACTTTCTGGAAAATACTCTCGCGTGAGGGCTTCCCTGAAATGTACAATTTTAGCCTTTTCAATTCAAAGGTCAAATTTTGTCCATCCACCTTATCCATATGATTACCAGTTCTAACTATCTTTTCTTCCATTTATATCACACACACTGATTATCATTACCATTTAGCATGTAACTTCCACCTTGAGGGATTCTCGAGTCTCTTCTTTAGTTGGTTGTAGTAAGAATATCTCGTCGAATCGAATCTAAAGTTCTGGTATATAGTATTTATAATTAATTATATTGATAATGCTAGTAAAATTTTAAGACTGCCTTTTACGGCTTATAAGACATTTTCATGTTATTTAAAACCCCCCCAAAATATTATAGCCCTCCCAAATTTTTATAATTTAAAAAATATTTTCTAGCGTTACATAATGAACCCATAATGAAATCCTCCATTATAAGGATATGCTGATAAATTCATACCATCTCCAAGGTGTATTTGCACATAACGAACCCAACTGGAAATGGAACTTTACTCACCGATTTCATATTCTTCGCCGTTATTCATTACACGACCCGCACATCGAAGCTTACAGCACTTGGATTTCCCAACCGGTCACCCATTTCGGTACTGACCAGACTCGACGTTGCTTAACTCCGGTGATCGTACTAGAAACGGTAATTCAACGTGATATAGCCGTAAAACATTTACACCAACCGTAAATACAAGTTTACAGCACCTGGCATCCCTAAGCAGTCAGCCGTCCCGACACTGACTAGGCTCGACATTGCTTAACTTTGTTGATCGTACAGAAACCTGTGTTTCAACGTGATATACCTCTAAATCCTTTAGACCAACGCACATCTAAGCTTAAAGCACCTAGTATACTTAAGCGTGCTCACCAGTCTCGACGTTGCTTAACTTCGGGGAACGTACGTGAACCGTTGTTTCAACGTGATACAGCCGTAAACCATTTACCCCAGCCGTAGATTGTCTTAACCTTATATAACATTAAGTCACGTCTTTTAACTTAGAGCGCTCTTTATCTTCGATCTCAGCTGTAATAATAACAATCTATATATAAGTATAAATGTGCTTAAAATGGTCGTTTTGGGTGGGTAGACAAAATGATAATCGACAATCCTTCATCTATCAAATGTGATAACGATTATACATAATTCTATTAATATAAAGAAAAGAAAACAGATATGAGAGATAGATAGATAGATAGATAGATAGATAGATAGATAGATAGATAGATGAGAACTAAATTGGAATAGATACATAATGAACAGTCTTACAGAGATACGAAGAGAGATGGATCAAACCGAGATAGATAGATAGATAGATAGATAGATGATAGATAGATAGGAATACACCGGGATAGATAGATAAATACATAGATATATAGATACATACAGACATTTAAACACCTTGAGATAGATAGACACATACATACATTTAAACACGTTGAGATAACTAGCTAACTAGATTGAGAAACATATGTGAACACATTGAGATAGATAAAAGCAGACTGAAAGAGTGGGAAGCAGACATAAAAAAGATAAACCTGAACCGACGCAGACAACTCTGTTACAAGTAATATATATATATATATATATATATATATATATGAAGAAATATAGTTTTAAGGAGTGCTATATTTATAGTATAAAGTGCTCAATATCAGAGATAGAGCGTGTGTAAATATAAAAGTGAACATAGAGGTCAACACTTAGAGGCGACAGTCTGTTTCATGCTAGATGCAATCGTCAGGCCACGAGTGCTGTTATATTTCTCGGCTATTTCTAGAGAAAAATAAGAGAATTCGTTGCCTGACGTTTGCATCTAGCATGAAACAGACTGTCGCTTCTAAGTGTTGACTTTATGTTCACTTATATATATATATATATATATATATATATATATATATATATATATATATGGAGGAAAGGGGCGTTCAACAGCCCCTGTGGAATGGAATAAAATAATTGACAAGATAGAACATTGGAGAGTTAGACGTCTGAATGAATCAGCGAATATTTTAGGCTATGAAGACCTCCTTAGCAGGCCTAGCAGAAAAATAAATACAATATGGTAGCTGCTAATAACGAAAACAGTCTTGAACCACAGTAACATCAATGAAAAACATGACGGGTAGTAGCAGCAGTCAAATCAGCAATCGGGTTATGTTCATCTCTCTATCTTCATATATATATATATATATATATATATATATATATATATATATATATATATATATATAGTCACTACAATCGTCTCGAAAACTTTCGAATTTTTTTGATTTGCCAATAATCAAATCAATCTCGAAGGAAAAAAAAAGGTTTTAAAAAGAAAGAGCTAGAAACATGAAAGTCTGTCGAAAAAAATCGCACAGATTCAGGTTTAAAGCCCAAAGAAAAAAACCCCGACACGAGTAAACAACTAACTAAAAAGAGCTCAATACAACCGTAGAGCAGACCTAGATAAACCTAGTGAGCCAGACAAACCTACCCAGGTTTCACCTAAGCGTATTGTTAGGGAAAGTTGGCACACTAGATTTGACTATATATATATATATATATATATATATATATATATATATACACACACGCACATACCTATTGAATCACTTCATCTATCTTCTATCTATATACATATAGAAGTCTACTTATCTATCTATCATAATGTATATATATCTTTATATATATATATATATATATATATATATATATATATATATATATATATATATATATATATATATACCTATTGAATATCTTCATCTATCTATCTATCTATCTATCGAAGTCTCTTCATCTATCTATCTTTATATTTATATATATATATATATATATATATATATATATATATATATATATATATATATATATATCGTTACAGTGTCTAAGGTTTGGATAAATAAAGCAGCTGTTTCCAAATGATGAGAACAAAAATCGTTTATTGTGAATCTTTGTCCCTGAGGAATTCAGATGCGTGGCAAGAGGATGAATACGAAAACAAAACATCGTAGAAACACACGCAAACAAATGCACACATAGAGAAAAAAAAAAACCTTGCAATATTCTAGATTCCCATTGGGATATATCCAATATGTCCTTCCAGCAGTTAATATTTTAATGGAATCGAAAAATCTTGCTATCATGACAGTGTGCGTCCGACCTGTTCGCGCCATTTCTCTCGGTAAAGGAAATGTCCTATACATAGATTATAGACAGGGACACAGTTTGCCTGTATAGAGGCCTACAAAAGTCAGCGTTGAAAGGATACTGTCAGGAGATTTTATTGCAAATATTACTTGTCAAGACTGTTAAAGTGTTGGACATACATTATTAAATAGCGTGGAGGGTTTGGGACTTGTATCTTTTTTTTAAAAAAAAATAAGAGTGAAATGAGGATGTTTTATGGGAGAAGTAGGAATAAAAAGATTATTGGAAAGAGAAAGAACACTGAAGCAAAGACGAGATCTTTACTAATCTCACCCCCCCCCATAAAAAAAACCTTGAAAAAGAGAACGAAAATTTAAGAGAGACTGGGATTTACATCCATATTGAGTATTAGAATTGTTGGCTAAGGCAGTTGCGTATTCAAGTCAAAACTATTCATCGGTATCCAAGTTGGAAAACCGTTAGACGTTCTATGTTTTCACCGTAGGTTAAAACATTCGCATTCAGACCATAAGACCAGGGTTCGAATCTCACCATGGTCGATTTGTCAGGAAGTAGACTTCCTGGTGTTATCGAATTAGAGCGGTTGATCCAAGCGTACGACACCCTTGGAAAGGGACTGAAACCGATACCACGGGTTGATCCAAGCCTTGTAAGTGAAATTATGTAGACGGAACCCCCGGGGCTGACGATAGCTGTGCTAGCACGAAGCTACAAATCATCGTGGCTGAGGGCTTGAGCGTGCTGGCCTTGTACAAATTGCTGATCACGCTAGATAACACGCTCATTCCCAGAAACTGTAACTAAGGTCTGCTTAACGTAGTTGTATTATAAACCACAGGTAGGCTCTGTGGGTGTTGAATAGGCACAAATGCGCCTGAGGAAGCGTCTACAATAGGGAATGGCTAGCCGCCCTAGTAGACGGGTATCGTCGAATACGAATGGCCAGCTATACTATACTATACATATGACATGTTTCTATCTTTCTACCACTATTTAACCAGTGTATTTGATTAGATTTAGCGGATTCAGGAAATATAACCTGATTTTTCAGGTATATCCGGTGGAACAGCATAATTGTCCATCCCCAAAAGATTTATATCTAAAAAAAACCCACCAAACTAAGTTGCTTTTTATCAGGTTTTCAGATAAAACGTTTAGCCATATTTACACCATTTGAGTTATTCAGCTAGAAAGAGAACAGTTTAAAATCATTTTGTGTCAGCCGCACTATGCCTTCCTAAGTAAGCAATGTTGGGAGGAAAATGATCATTCAGACCTTCCGTGATGGTGCCAACATTCATAGTCTGGCTTCTAACTTCAAAGTCCATTCAAGAACCATCAAGAGAGCGTCTTAGAGGTTTAAGAAAGAATGAAAGTAAAGAGAAAAAAACTGGATCACGGTGTCACAACCGGAAGAGGGATCATCGTTTCAAATTAGAGCTAAAGAGGTCAAGTAGGAAAGATTCAACTCAGTCAGTGTGACGTTTGGCACGTGGAGAGGAGTTTTAGCTCTGACAATCCAAAGGGCATTGAAAAAAGACTTGATAATGAAATCGTACGTGAAACGTGTGAGGCACCTTGTTACTCCAGAACAGAAAGTTAGAAAGTTAGAGAGGGCGAACATCACCTTGAATAAGTTGGAAAATGATCCTAGAATTGTGGTACCAGAATAGATATCGAGTTCAGAAGTGATGCAATCAGGAATGGCATTTATGAAAATTAGAAACAATGTAAGTCTAAGGATAGAGCTTTAGAGAACACCTTCATTTATGCAAAAAACAGCTAGAAGAATGGCCAATCAAGAGATTTGATGAGAAAAAGACCGAAACAGTTAAAAAAACTTCTTCCATAACCTTTCAGCTTGTGAAGAAGACCAGTATGCCAAACCTTAACAAATGACTTCTGCAAATCGACAGCCTGGAATTCAATTTATTATATAGAATATTAATTGATTCTTTCATCAAAAATACAATTAATACATCAGCATCAGCATCAGCAGTGGCCATAGAAAACTGAAATAAGATCCTGCGATGTGAGATGCCTAACCGATTCAGAGTTAGAGTTTATAGTATTTTAAACTTTGCATATATATATATATATATATATATATATATATATATATATATATATATATATAAATATATATAAAGGGAAAGTGGTTGTAGTAGATCCGAGAGAAAAGTGTGCATTACAAAGAAGAAACCGCAAAAGTTTCTGGTTGTAATGTGGATTTAAAAAAAATATATATATATTTTATTTTCCGTAATTTTGCTACACGCGTTTCCGGTCTCACGGCCTTTATCGAGCAAAGCGCGGAGATTTCCACATATTGTTAAAAATAATAAATTATTTCCTTTATGTTTCTCTCGATGTTAAATATTCTTGATATGAGACATTTTCTTGTGTGTTAGTGACAGTATATATATATATATATATATATATATATATATAGAGAGAGAGAGATAGAGAGAGAGAGAGAGAGAGAGCGGAATCTCTCATCTATGGATCCC